TACTATAAAATTTTATACAAATTTCCTTTACGCCTAAATTAAAAAAAAAATCAACATAATTTTTTTGCATGAAAAATTTTTAATGAGTAAAATATTTAACACAAATTCAAACGAAAATATGAGGTTATCAGCTGATATCATTTATGCGTCAAACTGGTTGATAGGAATTATGGCTAGTATTTTGGAATTTCAACCAGCTCTATGAATAAGTGATATCAGGTGATAACCTTTATATCACATGACCAACTACAAAGTTAAAACAGCAGAAAAATTGTGATTTTACTGAAACTATGCTTACGAATCATATGCTAATTAGGTGTGACATCTCAGTGTTCGACAGATACACATTTGCAGTTACAGCCGAAAATTTTTTTTCAAAATAAACTTTTATTTGTCGTTATTATGATTTATCGTTATTGCATCATGAGAGTAATTGTCGTTATCTTGTTTGAAATCGTCATATCGCGATAACGATAACTACGATACTGTTTTGCCATTTGGGTTTTCTACGCGTATGTTTATTATTTCTGTTGCCAGTGTGAAATACAAGTGAGTAATATTTCACACTGAACGTCACGACTGTTAATGATATTCACCATGGTCATGTGATAAGTTAAATTTATACAAAGCATGATTGGTTAACCTTTCCACCACCAGATTTTCCCGCCTAAATTTGTCTGCACTTTTTTCTTATATTCTTCAATATTTTTAGAAATAAACTCTAGTTTTGGAGCCAACAGACAAAATCTGGGTCAATTTTCAGGCTTTACTCAAAAAATTTGGCTTTTTTGTTCAAATATTCTGAAGGAAAGTGCAGACTATAATTGGCACTATTTTGAAAATTTGACATGAAAAGAGGAAACTCGTGGTGAAAAGGTGCAAATAAGGGTTAGGTAGCCAATGAAAGACATATACTGATGGGACTGCATTAAAAACTAATTTTACCTGAAGAGCAGTAGTAGTGACAGAATAAAAGTTGTAAAATTGTTGTCACCATTAATTTGCGATTCAGGATCCAACTTTATTGCACCAAACATCTGAGTAAAATAAAATAAAAACTCTGTACATTGTATGTCTTCATATAGTAGCAGTTAACTGGACAATATTCAGTATATGCAAAACTGTTAACTTGCTGTAATATAAACTCCCAGCATGCACTGGGGTAAACATCCGATTGACCACTATGTAATGAACTGCGCATGTGCAGTACTTTGTGTCACATGCTTCGTGTGTTTTCTGGAGCTGTGTCGTCTGTATTACTGTGAACGGGATTCTAATAAAAATGAAACCATTTAGCAATATCGATGAGTTCATACTTTATTAAAAACCACCTGAGATTCTCGGTTTCAAACACAGACGACTGACTACTGAATGATACTTTAGAATCTTACCTGCATTCCAATAATTGCATAGATGAAAAACAAGATGGCAATGAGGAGACAAACATACGGCAATGCCTGCAATAAAAAAAAAATTAATATTCTTTACAAAATTATTATACTATCACTGGGTCTAAATTTTACTGATTTAGCATTTCAGGCATATTCAGTGGGTTTTAAATTCACGGTTTTATCATTTAGATAATGTGTTCTATGCTAAATTTTACATATTCACTAGGTTTTAATTTAGCGCATTTTCTAGTCAGTGAAATAAGCAAAATTAAAACCCAGTGAATAATTAAGCCTTCTACAGTACTTATACACCCTTTGTGTATATGTTTGATATATTTAAAATAAATGTTGAATATATATACACATTATTTGAATGTATCCTAGTATTCCAGAAATATCCTATGGCTGCCTTTTTGAAAATCAAAAAGTAATGTCAACATACAGTATAGTCAAACAAATTTTGGAAAATCCATTGAGGTTTGGAAAAAGTCATTTAATTCTTATCGGTACATGAAATTAAGTTCATTAATTTGAAAGAAACATTTTTTTTTAACCAGTTGCTGGGGATAAAAAGAACAATTGTGTCCAAACGTTTCAATTTATGGAAACAAATGTTCAGCAGTGAATTCTATTTTTTCATGAAGATAGTAAATGTACAGTATCAACAGAGGTCAGTGTGACCATGTACTGCCTCAGTGCATACTTTGTGACATCCTCATATTAACTTTATTATTATACCAGTACATCTTCTCGACCCATCTACATACTATATAAAGCCCAGAAGTACCCAAGGTGGAAAAAATTAGTGAAACTCCAAAATGTCTGTCATCTTAGAAATATTGCTTAATCATTCCCTAATTCATATCATCGAATAAGAGAGGATGCAGGCACCTTGCCCAATACCACAAAAATACAGCATGCTGTAACTTATGGAGATAACGTACCTTGAAAGATTGTATGAATGTCCATAGGAGAATTCGGATTGTATAACCTTGCCGCAAGAGTTTTATTAGCCTGGCAGCACGGAACAATCTCAGAAAACTAAGATTGAGGAAATTATTCTGCAAAGACAAAGCACATGTATAGGATGAAATAAATTGTATAATGATTTTAGTTGTGACACAGACTGCATGCATTGCAATATTAGTAATGTACACCATAATAATATATGACAATCATCAGCAGTGCTGTAATCATAAGAATGACTTAACACATTGCCATCCATACAGAGGAGTTCATCTTAGCTAATTACTAAGACAATCTGGTACAAATATGCAAATTATGATGCTGGAAATCAGAAACAAATTATCATAGAAAAAACAAAATTCTATTGTCAGTTCTCATTTTTTTTTTCAGTTATTTACTTTCATTTGTTTGCTTGCATCAAAAATGTTTGGTTTTTTTAAATGATAAACAAAATATTGTTGTCCCAGAGGTCAAGGGATAAATTGAATGATACTGTAGGTCTATAAATCATAGTTTTTTGGTTTTGTGGAGGGCAATGTGTTAATTAAAATAAAGCCAGTGATATTATATGAAAGCAAGAAAGAAAAAAAAAAAACCTTGAATTCCTCAACAAGATTTACCTTCATAGTACTGTTGGCTTTCATATATATTTTTTATATCAAAATTTAATTTAGTGCTTCTAAAAAGTATATAGTGATATTAAAGTTGCACTCTGAGATTATTCTTATTGTTATTGAGATCTTGAGATTATTTTGTAAAATATTTTATGGTCTATACTTGCACGAATCAAAGGAAATAAGTAAAAATTCAATTTTCAGTGTCACTCAAATGTTGACGTGTTTCGGCTTTATTTTATTGTGAGTTTGAATTATATTTGCTGACACTATTGGATAAAGTTCTAATGCAAATGAATTCACAAAGATTCTTCCTGTAATTTGTGCATATTGAGACCATCAAATACGCAACATAAAGGCAAAGACCCCAATAAAGCTCTAGGAATTATCTCAGTGTGCAACTATAAATAAAACAGCATTATAAAGGTAAGTCCTTGGTTTTTTCACACAATGAGGAGATAATAATCGCAGAAAGTGTTTGAAATGATGTTTCATGCTCTGTGTACATGTACAGATACCTTAGAATACCATGCAACAGAATGAAATACAAAATCAAATGAAGCTTTTCATGGATACACATTAGAAGTAGGCTGCCTAGCCTGCCTTCTAAACTGAAACAGCTCAACTGTGTGCATATATATATACATACACAAATGAATAAATAAAAAGTAACTTGGAAAACTGATGTTAGTAAGCAAACAACACCACAGCACCGGCAATGAAGATCCACAGATATAAAAAGTAATAAGTAAAGAAACTTAAAAAAAAAAAGATAATCAATTTTATGAAAGTAAGTATGCAAAAGATAGACTTAGGTATTAGTCCACCACCCATATTTTTTCCAATGAAATCAAATTACTGTAACAAACTTTGAGTAGTGTTACTGTTAGTGTTTTTTTTAACTAACTGGATATAGCATGTCAAAGATACAGTGCTGGTGATTATGATTTAAAATGGGGTTCAAACTTTGAGCTGCATGCTTACCGCGTTCTGGCCATAGTGATAGAAGACAGACATAGAGAAGAGAGAAGAGAAAGAGGAGATAAGACATGCAAACATGGTACTGAGCATCAATTTTGTCTAGATGCATGCCAGAAGGCATTCCCCCAGTGGTTTAGATCATTCACTTCATTTACACAGTAACATACATTGGTGTTGTTTCTGAAGCTTTGTGGAAAGAAACTTGAGTACCATATGATGATATGTGATTTTATTTTGAGTGTGTGTGTTGTTTTTTTCTGAGAGAGCAGCATGATAAGATAACAGTGGCAGCAGTATGGGTTCAGGGAAAGGTACAGGGAGCATATGGGTGAAGACGTGGGTATGAGAGAAAAAGATTACTGGTTCCAGGTGATGTAGAGTTCTTTGCTTGCTTTGGTCAGTTGATGTGCACAGCAGTACTCACTTTGACACTATCTGCCTGCAGGACGATTTTATTTTCATATCAGGAAGTGAGAAAAGACAGATGGTTTGTGGTTAATAGGGTGGGTGGATTGGAAAACGGGGAACTGCTAGGATTTGGGCAACATGCAAAAAAAATGCATTTTCTGATTAAAGGCATTTCATGGTTCATTAACACAATGTCATGACAACACCAAACACATACAACAACAACAGCTATTCTGGAACCATAAATGTGTTACTGGTAAGTTACTCAACAGTGTGACAGTTATCAGTTTCTGTAAAGCTACCAAAACACAATTCTGCTGTTATTTTAACCCAAAGTCAACTTCAAGAACAATCCACAAAATAGTTGTATCTGCTTTTTTCCCACAGAAAGTGTTGACAAAAATGTTAATATTTTTCAA